AAAAATTATTATAATATAACACAGGTAAGTCTCACAAATAAAAAGTGTCATACTAATTATATTATAATATATTTTTTTATAAAAGGTATTTAAATTTTTAAATATTTTTTCTCATTAATTTTAGATTTTAAGAAAAAAAATTAGCAAGCACCCGTGTATTTACACGGAAGCTGTACTAGTACACAATGATTCACAAATTTCTCAAAATTACATGTTCTCCAAAATTTATGTACCCGGCATCCCAGAATTTACACTACACAAAAATTGTTATATTCTTATGAAAATTCCTGCGGTACGTAATATATTTCAATAGAAATTTCAACGGATATTTCAATGATATAATTTATGCTGAAATGATTCCAACGGATATTCCAACAAAAATATTCAGTTGGATTGAGCTTTTCATTGGAATTTTAGATGGAATTGATGATTCCAATGACTACTTTTCCAACGGTTTTTTACCGTAAGAATTTCCTTAAGAATATGCAATTTTCGTTGAAACTTTTATTTTCACCCTCATTGAAAAATTTACCGTTGGAATCGTCAAAATTCAACGGAAATTTCAACTCATTCGAACGAAATATTTTTGTTGGAATCCACTGAAAATTTTCAACGGAAATAATAGCAGTGGAATATCCATTGAAATTGCCGTTGGAATTTCATTAGAATATATTTTCGTATGAATTTTTAGAATTTTATCATTTTCTTGTAGTGTTAGAGCATTTACATATCAATTTTTCACGAAAGTTAACATATCAGAATTTAAAGAGTTTACTATCATTTTATTTTATTTTTTTTCTCAAAATTTAAACATTTAAAAGTTGGAAAGTCTGAAGAAAAATGCACAATCCTCCCTATATATTATTCTCGAATGCGCTGAACCTATATGGCTGTTTCTGGTACTTCGGAATCCTACTTGGCGAAGAATCATGCTTCGTAATTAGGTTTGGACAAATAATATTGATATATTAATAATTAATAATATAGGTTCGAACATTCCATAAATATTATTTAGCTAACTTAGGTATTTTAATATCACTTTTACTAACATAACCATTTAATTTCTTTGTAATTTTACATAGTGAGACACTAAGTGACTAATATATCCCTGACTTTTGATGTGTTTCCTTCAATTAGCTATTGACTTGTAAATGTATTTTAAAAGTTGATAACTTTTGTATTTCTTATCGGTTTTACATAT